TGAGCATCCTGCATGCTAACAAACCCCGGTGCACCGTTCATGGGATTCAAAGCAGGATTAGTAACGCTCCTGCACTCTGCTTCCTTGCAGCATCCCTTTGGAGGTGCGTCTGGTTCAGCTGCTCTCAGCAAACGCAGAGACACTGTGCGGGCCTTGTTTATTGTCCCTTTCGGACTTCAAATGTCTCTCAATTTACAAGTAAGAAGATCCTCTTCCTGCCTGCCAGCTCTGCAACTCAGCTCATGACAGGCTGAGCAGTGCAGCTCTCCCATTATCCTGCTAACAAAGGCTCTAACAGCATTTCCACTGCAGGGACGCTCAGCCCTGAGCTCCCCCCTTGGTGAGAGAGCACTGGGCTGATCTGGACCCGCAATCTCTTTTTGAACTCCCAGCTATGTGTCAGAGGGTGAAATAAAGGCTGCCTTCCTGTGACCACACGGCGCAGATAGTAAATACTAAATTTGCTCTGGGAATATCCAGTAAGCAAGGAAGTTCCATTTTTGTCCTTCTCACAATAGGAGCACTATATAATGTGATACTTCTCAGCTGATGAATGGGCAAGAAAAACTCACCAGCTTAACTCACAGCGCTTCCTTCAGCCGCAGCCATCCGAAATGCACTGCTCCACATTGACTGCAGAGGCAAGCAGAGCAGTACCCTGCTGCACCAGTGGAGATACCACCTTGGAGGACCTCGGAGGACCTCTGGCAAAAAAGTGTCAAGCCCGCAGAGATTCAGTGCTGAGCACATTTCCATGGACAGTTTTGTTCCTTTGGATGGAAATCTAGACAGGCTGACCCTCCTCCGCAATCACAGTTCCACTTTTGCAGCGCTCCAAACCTCAACAGTGCCACTTTAGAGTCAAATGAAACAAAAAATTGCACTAAAACCACAAAAGGATCACACAATAAGGAAAACTATTGGGCCAGCGATGGCTGCATAGGAAGCAGTGAAATTATTTGCATGTCTGGTTCTTAATAGAAGTTTTGATGTACAGAAACAAATGGCACCAGCTCTGCCTGAGCCCAGTGCTGGGCAGCAGCATCATCACGGCTGGGCAGGAGTACCAGGGCAGGGCAGCACCAGGGCTGGGGAGGAGTACCAAAGCCAAGCAGCAGTACCAGAACCAGGCATTACCAAGACTGGGTAGTACCAGGGTTGGGTAGCATCAAAACCAGGCGGTACCAGAACCGGTCAGTACCAGAACCAAGCAGTACCAAGGCTGGTGCAGCAGCACCAGGGCCAGGCAGAACCAGGACCTGGCAGCATCCAAGACCAGGCAGTACCAGAACCGGGCAGTGCCAGTACTAGGCAGCAGCACTGGGATCGGACAGTACCAGCGCCAGGCACTGCCAGAACTGGGCAGTACCAGGGCTTGGCAGGAGTACCAAGGCCAAGCAGTAATACAAGAACCGGGCAGCACCAGGACCGGGCAGTATCGGGGTCAGGTAGCATGAGGTCTGGGTAGCACCAGGGCCAGGCAGCATACCAGGACTGGGCAGAACCAGCACCGGGCATCACCAAAACCAGACGCAGCACCAGGACCGGGCAGCGCCGCGCCTCGAGAGGGAATGGTATCCGCGAGGGAAGGCAGAGGCCGCTCGGACGGCACGGACTCACCTGCGGTGCTGCTCCGACCGCCGCCGCCGCGTTTGCCCGGCCGTGCCCGCAGGTCGGGGCGGTGCCGGGGGCGGACCCGCTTTCCTGCCCGGCTCCGGCCCGAGGCGCAAATTCCTCTCCTGTTTGGAAATTCGAGCGGGGACATCCGAACTCTGAGCCCGCGGCGTGGTTTCTGTGCTTCGCTCTGCGGTTCTCTTCGATACGGCAGCGTTTCACAGACGGATGGAGGGAAAAGCGGTGCCCGAAGGGCTGAGCTTGTCCCGGTAACCAGAACTGCTCGGCGAGGTTCAGTAACACCGTGCAGGCGCTGAACGGCACTGTCCGACCCACAGAAAGCACCGCAGGGCGCTCCGATCCCAAACCCGCTCCGTCCCTCTTCTCTGCTGTACACGAAAGGATTTCAAAGATGAGTCCTCTCATTCTGATCCCTGGGAAAGCTGATGGCATGGCGAGAAATACAGTTGGGTTCAGTGGTTGTGTGCCCTCGTTCTATTGCTTTGATAAGGCTTTGACCAGGCTGCCCAGAGAGGCTGTGGATGCCCCGTCCATCCCTGGAGGTGTTCAAGGCCAGGTTGGACAGGCAGCCTGGGCTAGGATTAGATATGGAGGTTGGTGGTCCCGCCTGCAGCAGGGGGGTTGGAGCTTCATGATCCTTGAGGTCCCTTCCAACCCAAGCTATTCTATGATTCTGTGATAACAACTGAAAAGCAGAAGGGAGACAGAAAACAACATGGGTGACAATGGGGTATACATATAATCTCAGGTTTGTCTTTTGGTTACAGCTGTGGCATAGCTGAGGATCAGGGCCATGCATGCACACTCAGTGCAATTCATCAGGGTCCTAGGGGTCCCCACTTACTCATGTGCACAAAGAAAATGCAATGGTATAAGACAACAAACCTGTTTGCAACTGGGCAATGGAGTGAAGGTCCTCACGTGGTTGTGCAGGAGCTCTGCGGGTGGGAGTTTCAGAGTGGCCCTGAGGACAGCCTGCAGGCCGGCAGCATCTCTGTGCAAACTGGTTCCTGCACTTCCATCAGTTGAGTATCACTGCTGGAGAATGCAGCCTTTCCTTCCAGAGACCCCCGAGGTGGTTCTTGCAAATTGAGCAAGGCACATGAACAATTGACAGAAACAGCCTGCAGATGAAGAAATAGTCCCACAGGGCAGGTCCTTGGTGCCTACTTATGCATGCATCAGATAGAGCAGTACAAACATTAAAGCCACACAAGTTTTTCATTCCTTCTTCAGGCCAGAGGGGCTCTGGGCAGCTGAAGGAACTGTGTTGTCTCTGCTCAGTTCAGGGAGTGGGACCAGATGGCCTTTAAGGTTCCCTTTAAACTCAAACAATTCTATAGTTCTATGAACAATTCTATTATAATATTCTATTATAATATGCAGATGTAAATTGAAAACTAGAACACTACTTACTATTTCAACTAATACAGGATGCGCTACAAAACAAACGTGAGTTTTTCTTTGCTTAAAAGCACTGATAAGAAGAGATGACACTACTAGTTTAATGTTTGCAGGGGTTTATGTGTTCCAGGAGTGTGGTGGGTAAGGTTATGGGTGATGCTATGTGGTTATTTCTCCCAGAAAGCAACACATCTTTCAGGCCCTTGGGATGAGTGTTGGGTCCCAACTGAATCTTGATGTTTACCACTCTTTATTTAACACAAAATAGCCATTCTGGTGTTGAGCTGCCTTTCTCAGAACAGATACAGCTGTTTCTTCATTCCCTGCTGAGAGCTCAAACGCACACAAATCCATGTGCCCTGATAGGATGAGAGGACTGCCAGAGGTGATTGCTGAACTGCTGTCTTTCATCTTTGAAAGATTCTTGTAAATGGGAGAGGTGTCTGAGGACTGGAGGATGGCCAGTGCCAGTTCAGTCTTCAAATAGGGCAAGAAGGAGAATCCAGGAAACTTCTAGTCAGCCTCACCTCTGCCTTGGAAAGGTGATGGAACAGTGTGTTCTGGGTGCCATCTCCAACCAGCAGTGCTCCCCAGGGGTTGGTGCTGGACCTGGTCTTGTTCAATGTCTTCATCAGCAACCTGGATGAAAAGTGCACCCTCTGCCAGTTTGCTGTTGGTACAAAGCTGGGAGGAGTGGCTGACACAGCTGATGGTCGTGCTGCCATTCAACGGGGCCTTAACAGGCTGGAATGTTGGGCAGAAAGGAAACTGATGAGGTTTAACAAGAGCAAGTGTAGAGTCTTTCACCTGGGGAGTACAATGTAGGCTAGGGGATGAGCTGCTGAAGAGGAGCTCTGCAGAGGGCCTGGGGGTCGCAGTGGACAGCAGGTTGGCCATGAGCAAGCAGTGCTCCCTTGTGGCCTAGAAAGCCAATCCTGGGGTGCATTAAAAAGAATGTGACCAGTGTGTCAGGAGAGCTGATCCTTGCTCTTTAGTCTGCCCTGGTGAGGCCACATGTAGATTACTGTGTCCAGTTCTGGGCTCCCCAGTGAAAAAAGAAGACAGGGATCTCCTAGAAGGAGTCCAGCAGAGGGCCACAGATGATAAAGGGCCTGGAACATCTCCTATATGAGGAAAGGCTGAATAACCTTGGTGTGTGCAGGCTGAGGGGGGATCTCAAATGTTTATAAATATCTGAAAGGAGGTGGGAGGCAAATGGATGAGGTCAGGCTTTTATTGGTGGTGCACAGTGATAAGACAAGGAGTAATAGCCTAAAACTTGAACAGAACAGAAGTGCCATACAAGCACATGGAAGAACATCTTCACTGTAAGGGTGACAGAGCACAGGAACAGGCTGCCAACAGAGGTTATGAACCCTCCTTCTCTGGAGGTATTCAAGACCTGTCTGGATGCCTACCTGTGTGACCTATTGTAGGAAACTGCTTTAGCAGGAGGTCAGACTCAATCTCGAGGTCCTTTCTACCCCCTGTGATTCAGTGGGACACACCAACAACCATGAACACAAGAATAGAGTAGAAATACACCCACTCTGTTTATGCCATACCTCCATGACGTGCCCTCTAGTTCCTTAGAGACTTGCAGTATCTAACAGAGGGTTTGTTAGCCTTCCCTTCCCATCACTGGAACAGCATCAGGGCTGGTTAGTCCTGTCTGTACCACAATCCCACTAGGGGAGAATTGGCAGCAGGAAGAGAGAGATTCCTTGTTGACTGTTTCAGGTTTTGTTTCAAGTCCTGCATGTGAACAGAAGACTCAAAAAGGCCACAAATAAGTTTTAAGAGTTTTGCATGGATATTCAACTCAGGTTTCTTTGGGTACTTCAATGTGTGAGCAGCTCAAGGTATCTTAAATCACAAAAGGCACTTTGTCACATTTTAGTGCTAAGAAGAAAAAGCACACAAAAGGATTTCAAATGTAACAGTGATACAAAATGGCAAAATTCAGTTCAAAAATTAAGTATCTTTATTTTACAGGTTTAGAAAATCTTTACATTTTTTAACTAAAACAGGCTAAAGTCCTTTTTTTTTTTTTTCCTTAAGCAAAACAGATGAAAAAAAAACACAGCAATTTCCGCAGATCAGTCTTTTTCAAGTTTGTTTTCTTTTACCAAATGTGTTTGCCTGTTTTGGGCACACTTGGAAAACCCCATGGAAAAGACAACAAGAGCACTCCAGTGAAACTCCCAGGACACAAATCAGCTCTTGTCCTCACATCTCCCCCAGTGTTAATTACACAATAGTTGGGTTTTTTTTTTTTCCTCCCCCCGTGTTTTAAATCACAGAAGGTAGAAACAAACCTACACTTGGTGACTGGAAATGCAATGTCTTACAATGCATTTGCACTCACAAAAATAGCTGGGATGATTAACTGCATGGCTGGACATGAGGCTGCAGATCAGGCAGATGAAGGGGCTGACCTCAAAACCATGGAACTATTTGGCATACGGTGGGAAGAACGCACCCAGACAAAACCAAGGAGCTGGTGTGGGTATTACAGGAGGACCTACAACCTCTGAAAAACAGAAATGTTTGTCAAAATGTTATGACTTGGAAATGATGTTTTTCTCTCAGCTGCTGATGGTACTGAGAAGGGAACATGTTTTGTTACTGTTTCCAAAAAACCACCACCAGGCCTTACTTCTACCATAGATATCTCATAGATATAAGTCCCCATGTTACTGGTTTATCTATTCTTGTAGACACCAGGCAGCAATTTTCCAAGTAACCACCTAGCAAATACCACATCTTCTACAGTTTGTGCAAAGGGACACTATTCACATAAGGCTGCCTACAGTTTGGCAACACAGCCAATTAAACCAATATACATTACTGACTTGCTGACAAAACAAATGAGAAGCAAGATAAAAATCAGGGAAGAATATTCAGCTATTAGCACTGTTAATGACTGACTTCATTGTTATAGAGAACCAAATTCCTTCTCTTTAGGACCCATCTGCATTTCTGCATCTCCTTTCCACAGCTTCAGTGCATGTGGCATTAACAGCCCATGTGCGGGAAGGATATCTGAACAGAGCTTTTATGCCACAGCCTTCCTATCCCAGCTAACTCCCTCAGCGGGGATTTTTATTTAATTATTCACTTAGTTTTATTAAGGGGCCAAACTGCAAAGGCTCAGCAGTAGTAAAAATCACAGCACAGCTTTTGGAACACTGAAAGACTTTCCTTCAGCAATTCATGGAACAAGAGCTTGAAAAGTTTGTGTACTCACAATTTGTTCATTGTGAGTACACTAGCAGAATTAAGTGGATGTATTCAGAAGCACTAAAAGAAATAACCCTCAGAGTTTGCAGTCTTCACAACACCACCTTATGTGCTATTATCTGAACGTTATCATAAAGCCCTTTCACAGAGACATTGGACATCTTAAAACTGGTTGACTGATGTTACCTCCTGCTCCCTAAAAACTTACTATCAACATCCAGGACAGCAGCATTGAGCAAATATTCTCCAGTCTTACCCCACAAACCCTGTTCATAACCGCTCTGTTTGCCCGCAGCCTCTTGTCTGATGCACACATCCCAGTGACTCACTAGCATTGCTCAAACATGGCTACCAGATCCCCAGCTCCTCCAGCAATGGGCTGTACAAAAAAACAAAGTACTGTGATGAGGACAACACACAGATCATCCACCACCACAGCTGTAAATGCACATCTTTCATTACAAAAGGGAGTTTTGCTTTCCTATGTTGCCAAACTGAGCCTATCTGTCAGAGACTTGTAGGACCGAAGAGATTAATCTGAAGTGTTAAGATGTGACATCTCCACAGGATGAAGATAATGTACAACCCTGCAGTTCAGGTGTGAAGCACATTTCTTAGAGGTGGTGGATGCCCTATTGGGACAATGCCCTCATTCAGTTCTGGTTGGCCCCAAAGAGGTCAGGCAGTTGGATGTGATGATCTTTGAAGGTCTCTTCCCACTGAGCTATTCAGTTCTTGGAGAGGACAAGTGACAAAGAACAAGCTGAAGAAAAGTGGGCAACAACTACTTACAGCAGCTCAGACCACTGCCATTGACACCACTCAGACAGAACAAGGCTGTCTCCCCAAACAGACCCATCTCTGCATATTTTCAGCTAACTAACTTTTACACTGAACACCCAAAGGAAGTTCACATCACAGAGTGTGTGTGAGAGCTGTAGCTCAACTCCAGATTTCTAGCCTACAGATCATTTCAAAGCTTTCCCTAAAATGAGGTTTTGCCATACACAAAGATAGGGAATGTTAGCAAGCAGGAAAATACAACAAGAAATCTGATAAACTGAATTGTTGTCTTCAGTTAAGAGAATACAACTCCAAATTAGATCAGGAGATTGCCCACTCACAACCATGGCCACCAGTGGATCAGTGATAGGATCAAGAGCCACAGCATTCCCAAGAACTGCTGGAGGAACGAACTGAAACCAAATTAACTGCATAAAACCAGGTTAAGTTCTGTACTAATGCCTGAAATGATGACTTGGTGTAAAATATACTCATTCCTGGTTCAAGAAAACTCTATTTAAGGCCATCATGTATTATCTGTCACTGATCTAAAGACAGTGAAACCTCATTCTCCCACCACATAATCTGAATATTTGCATGAATATTTCACCTTTGATATTCAAAGGTGAAAGACTCACAGAAGAACATATTGAAATGAAAACATTCCGAAGTGCCATTCAATGCAACTCAATCTACATTTCAAAATACAACATTTCTTATCTTGGTAGAAAAAGCACTGCAACTATTTAACGTGTGCTTTGATGTGATTTCTGCCCTGAGGGCTTCTTATTAACATGACAAAACCAAACACATCTCTGTAAGGTGAGATCTGAACTGTCAACCGCAATGCTTTCCCACTAAGCTATAAACTCCCTGCTCTTTCTGGACTTCAGGTTTCCTGTGCTTCCCATGGCCGGCCACTGCAGTTATTATCTGGTCTTCTTCCGCACCACCAACCCCACATCTACTGATTCGAATGCCATTCCTACATGAAAAATGATACATGCACTACACAACTATGGGATAAGGAGATGACAGAAACAAAACTGCAGGGCAGAACTGTAGGATCTCACAGCAAAAGAGCTGTATGCAAGCACTCACTTCAAGAGCCAATATAGGCATTCTCTTATTTGCTTTTATTTTTTAATTTTTACTGGGCTAGCCAGGGGAGGTATACAAACAGCTGAATGAAAGGAAGGAAGGAATCCTTCAAGGCCAAAGGCATTTAATAGGAAGTAGAGAAGTTAAGCAGAGAACTGAGAAATGTTCTAAGTCAGTAACAAAGCTCTACAAACTGTAGGGTGAAACATCCAGAGGAGGCACTGAACACATACGGTGACCCAACAATTCCACTTTGAAACAGCTTTAAAAAGAACAACAAAAACCCAACAAAACAATAACTCTGAGCATTCTGCTGCCCACCAAAGCTACAGAGCAAAACAAGAACTGCAGGTAAATACACATCTCCCAGATGTTGTGTTATTTGACTGATGGATGCTGTCACCTTCAGCAAAGTTTCAAATTGTATTACTGCAGCTCTGTTCAGTAGCTACCATCTTCCTGGCTCCATAGTCCGTGGTATTTCCCAGCGTACTTAGAAATCAATTGGCATTAACATTATGGCCATAGTGTCTTAGTAATGATGTATCACAGATGCAAAAAACCAATTCTAAAGCACGGAAATGGGCATCATGTCTGCAAAATGGAAGGCATTCTTAACAACAGACCGAGGGCTACTGTAATGAAAAAAAAAAAAGAGCAGCTTCTGCAGGACAAGTTTCACTGATTATGTGAGATCAGGGAATCAGGTAAAAAAAAAACAACAAAAATCAGGAAACTTGATTTGTTAACATAAAAGAAATGTGACAGGTGAAAAAGAAGACTCACGTAAATTAACAGAGGATTTGAGGTACTTCTCCCTTGCCACTCCCATGAGGATCCTTGATGTCACATTCTGGTTTCAGCTGCATTTGTGCAACCCTTCAGGAGGATACAAGTCAAACCCAGTCAGTCCAATGCATTGACTCATGGTTAGTAATTTTTGACCCAGGAAAGAATCTGTCCCTTACTACTCAGGTAATCCAAAGTGTTAAAAACAAAGCACTTTAACATTACTCCAAAAGCAGCCTTTTAACTCAAGTTTAGTGTGGGATGTACATCTGCAATCATCAAATAAAAATCAACTACAATGAACATATTTTGACATTTTCCTGTACAACATTAAATTTTATATTCAGGGAAAGACAGAAAAGCACAACCTTGCTTTCTGATGGGAGTGATTGAACAGGGTCCAAACAGTCGCAGCCAAACTGGTGCACCAAAGGTGTACAGTACTGCAATAGTCAAAGTATGTAACTGTTTATATACTTTAACTGGAGATATTGCACTGAGTAACTATTTTTTTTCCCCACTCTGATATCTGTAGTTTGAGAAGAAAAACACACACAAACTTACACTTAAATAGATGGAAAACCATCCAAAACATGAAGGTGAAGCATATGCAGACCCATCTAGAATGAAACATAAAGCAACTACCAGGTGTCTACAAGTTAATCAGTGTTATAAGTCTTCCACTTTCATCGAGTTACAAACAATTTGAGAAATAAACTGTTTCCTAACCCACATGAGAACAAATGTAAAATACATTTTTAAGAAGGTGATAAAACTTAATGCTTCATCATCAGAAAACTACTGACCTCAATGTATAAAAATTACTCCCACCAGTATTATGACTGAAAAACAATCAAAGCAAAAAAAAAAAAACAACACCACAGAACTTGGAGTCATTCTCCAAACTTTTATCGCTGTTTGTCAAGTTCATTATTTAAACACAGGATTGTTTTGTTTATATATAAACTTATACAATGGTTTAAATTAAGGCATAATCCAGCTGGCTGATATTTTCAGTTAAATGCCTCCGTTGCTTTTTTAGTTAGTTGAAATTCAGATTACTACTGGCAGACGTAGTCCATCAAAGAGGAGATTGAAGAAAACAAGAACAAAAATAACCCAGATGTCTTTAATACTACTATCTTCCATTTGGGTCATTCATAAATTAAATGCAGTGCAGGACTTGGGACTTATGCTATGAAATCAACCTATCAGACAGGGCTTTAAGAAGAGGGCAAAAATTCTGATTCCACATTGTAGTTTTACAGAAATTTTTTCACATTCCAGAGAAAGAATATTACCACCCAATGCAAAACAGATGAGAAATGAGCATCCAAAAAAGAAAACCATGGGGCAAACTTCTAGAAGACCTAGCCAAAGATATGAAGGCTGAAGTTTAACAACAGACATTAAAGGAGAACCTTTTGGAATTGAACTCAACACGCCAACTGGAGACTCTTAATTTAAAATCATTGCCTCAGACTGGGACAAAATGATGATGCTTTTGTAAATGATGCTTTAGACTCAAATGCTCTGAAAAGCATTTCTCCCATGCAATTTAGAAACATGTTCCAAGATCCTAGAACACTTCTGTTTTCTTTCTCAGACTTAACATGAATTGTTTGAGGCATTAGGGGACTGCAATTTAAATGTAAAACACAAACGCTTTTGATAAAGCCAAATGTTCATATGTAGAACAAATGGCACACAAATCTCGTCATCTCCCCATAAAAGACTCAATCACGTTACACAAGAAAATGTCTAATTTCAGGAATATAAATTAAGACCACCTGCACCCAAATAGTTTTACACTTACAAACTGTGTCCTTTGCACTGTCACTTAGCAAGAGGGGCAAAATGGTTAGATCACAGCCTCTTTCCAGAACCTGACAGGCCACGCTTCAGCTACTTCTGGGATGAAGACATAACATTATTTGAGGCAGCTGATTGGTTACTAAGCAGCAAGTAGCTTTAAATCACAACCTACTATAGCACCGTGTGTTCCCTTGAGAATGAAAACAGACTCTTTTCTTCAGTAAGTGACCACAACTATGTTCCTTAAAGTTCATCAGTTTGGGCTCTTGAGGTATTACTTATTCTTTTTGCTGTTTTACTGTAACATTTTCCCCAGTGAAAATAATTAAGTTTAGTTTAACATTACTACCTATTTGCTTAATTATTGGCTTATTTCATTTCTAAAGCAAACATTCTTAATATCCTTATTCTACCAGGTGGTGTTCTGTTACAAACACCTTCTTTTCAGAGACAACCCCTGGAGTTCATGGAGTGCTTAGCGAGCTGTAGCTCCATTCATCCTACCTTTTAAACTAGACTAGTAGCCAACACAGGTACCTGGAAGTAAAAAGAAAGAAGTTTAAGAGATGCATTTAATGCACCTTGGTAGTATAAATCCTTTCAGAGGCTTGTAATTTAACCACTCTCTGCATTTCCTGAATGTCAGCTTATACTAAAGCATTCCCTTGCATCAATGGCTTTGACAAGTAGAAAAAGTAAAAGGTGACAATAGGGAAAGTGCTAAAGTCATCTCGTGTTTCTTTCAGCTAAGCATTGTAGCAGACTTGTTCAATGCTTTTCTTCCACGTTAACCTACACTATGCTAAAGCAGCAAAAATAGCCACAAAGCACAGAGTACTGTGTAAATAAAGACTCTTAATACTACCCTGGTATAATTAAAATGGATCAGTCAAAGGCATTCACTAATAAAATGATAATTGAAATCCATACATCAGAACCCTTGTAGAGCACCATATTTCAAATATGTTTGAAGTGTATAGCTGTACCAAAGCTGGAGGCAGAACATTCTTTGTTGGATTTGATGATCAGACTCCCACCGAGGTTCCTCAATGAACGTGAATACTACTGAACCAGTCTAAATACATACTGGTTTTACATGAATGTTTGTAAGGGAAAATACGGAGTTCCTATCAAATTGTTTATTCCAGCTGTTTTTGCTCGAGGTTTAGAGATTTACTTTCAAGGTCAACCTTGTTGTGCCCAGCTGGTTCTTCACTCTTTGTGATAGAAACTTCTGACTGTTCCGTCTTTGTGTCGTTATCAGCTGGTTCCTCTGCAGCCAAAGTAGGGCTGTGCAGCTCCTTCACATGCAGGGTAGGGTCGGCCATTTCCTCTGTCTCTTGTTGAGAAGCTGGTACGTTGCTATCTTTAGGAAGCTGAGGGCAGTTGACAGAAGCTATCACCAAGGGAGGCTGAGGTAGGTCTTTCTGCAAACAGAAGATGAGAGTGATGAAAAGCAGAAATTACTACTGCTGTGAAGAGCAGAATTAACTATAGAGATATTAGAGTTTACAACAAACATATTCAACTCCAGCCAGGTATCAGGTATGATCAAAATGGTCACATGAGGTGAAGACAAAAGGCACAAGATCCCTTACCATTCTCCAGTGACAGACACATACATACAGTTATCCTACCTTTGCCATTTAGGGTGCAAAAGGGGATTTTTGTTCCAGGGATTTGTCCAATAGCTTTTTAAAACCCACCAAACTTTTATTATTCACAATAAAAGTTTAGTTTTGAACCTCTGTTCGAACTCATGATTTCTAGTCTAAAATTTTAAGACAATTCTGGTAAGGCTATGGGAGGAAGCTATTATTAAATGGCATAGTCCTAAAGAAGAAAACAACAACTTGCAGATGAGTGTTTGGTTGAGTGTAGGCAGTGAAATGCCTACAGGATTTGTAACCAGGAAATGCTGTTCCTCCAAATAAGAGATGCAGGAATTAACGGATTATGATTTTTTTTTTTTTAATTTTGTTTGTGAGGAAGAACTTATTTGCTAAGTTCCTCCTGGGAGTCCTGCTATTACAGGTTTATAAGGTTTTCATTTATTTGATCGTAATCTTTGGGTGATGTTAACAGCAGTAGTTTTAATCCCTTATTCTTGGTTTATCAGTTGTGACAGATTTCCTGCAAGCCCTACCCAGCTAACTGCATACCACTTGGCTTTCTGTAGTAATAAGAAATGCAATTTGCTGGCTCAAGCAGTTCCATCACATTTTATGTTTGTATTGAAGGACCCTGAAACAAGAAACATCTGTACGATTTCAGGAACTGTAAGCAATCTATAATGACCAAAGAGATGTGCTGTACCAATTAACAGAAATAAAGAATTAAAGTCTGGAAAAGATGAAAGAAACAGAATCTGTAGCTGGATGATTCCTCACTGATATCAGACGTGCTCTGTTGATTACTCAGGAACAAGCAGACAGCACTTTGGCACTTCTGCATTCTCTGGTTTTGATCACGTTTACTATCCGTGCATGGCAACCAGCATCTTTTCCAACACATTCTGGATGATCACTAATATTTTCTTCAATATCTAAATCAGTTCTCTATAGGAAGGCTATGCAGGTTATAAAAAAATAACCGAAGAACAAAATAAAACTCACTGGGAGAGAATCTCCAGCTAGATGGATTCTTTCCTTTGGGGTAATTCATCACAATCTATAGTCATGCATTATAATAGAAATTATTCCATTCAGAATCAAAAGTTTCATTTATACCACAGAGAAACAAAGTGATGATTCAATATACTTAACTAGATCTTTATAAGCAGTAGACTAGGGAAAAAAAAAGAAGATAAATATTTTTTAAGGAGCTACTTACCAAAATGGCAATGATACTTTCAACAAAGATCAAACCAGTAAAATTGTGGCAGAATGAAGGATAGACAGGGTTCTACTTTACTTTTCACTAGTCAGTTTAAGTGGCCATAAACATTAAAGAAAGAAAATGAAAACATTATTTAGGGAAAAAAAAGTGCATTAAAAAAAAAAAGTAAAAATATTTGGCTTTGGTGGATAATACTACAATATTTTACTCAACTTTAATTCTAGTTAGGTTTTTATAATATTAGTATTTCTTGAAGACACTCATATCAAACTGGTATTCACCGCAAAGCCGCTGCCCGTCCAGAACATTGCAAGCTCCTTTCTCCAAAGAGCCACAGCAAAGCTGGTGATTAGAGTGCAGGGTACCAAGTAGAGCAGAGCTGGCTGACCCATCTGCATTAACGCCAAGGCGACAAAGGTCACAAGAAGGCCTATGCCATATGCTGGAAGGAAACAAAATTAGCAAAAAAAGTAGTTATTTGGGCATAGCTTGACACAAGAGCAACTAAATAATTTGCAAAATAAGCATTCTTATAGGATTCTTTGTTCATGTAATATATAAAGCAACTTTTTAAAACACAAGCAGAGTATATACGTTATAAATTTGGAACAGTACTTTGAGATACTGCTGTCTTTCTATTGACAACACAATGTTGTGAGAGTACTGTGATTGGCCTAGTACACACTGTGCAATTAAAAAAAATTATCCTAACCACTTTCAGAGAAAGAAAATAAAATATTTTGTTTCTCTTACTGTATTTACGAACAGATGGTTATTTTGACTGATATAATACATGCTTCTTGTTTGGATGGTCTTTGGCTATTTCTCACTAATAACAATGCCAGCTGTATAACATATTATTTTCCCTTTAAGTACTGCAAGCATTCTGCAGAAAATAAGCAGAACAAGAGCATTTATATGGCAATATGTGGAAATATTTTCAATTACATTTTCAGAGCCAACTGACTTGTTCAGAAGCCAATGACTGGAACACTCAGTAATAGTTTTATCCAGTTGTTCAAAATCAATTTAGATTAGAGAGAGTTCCTTATATTTAATTCAAATCTTTCTTTTTGTGACTTATGTTCATTCCCTCATATAATATCTCTTCCCTATACACTTACAGAAACTACACTCAGACTTCTCTCACATTCTCACATTAGATAACTGCGGACAACAAAAGAATCTTCTCTCCTTTGCCTTTTCTTCTTTGAATGCCATGCGCTTCAGCATCCAGCCACTGGATTTACTCCAGCATGACAAAGTCTCTCAAAAGATCCCCAAGCTACACAGAGTGTTCCAGATTCAGTCTTAAGAGCCAAACTGAGGGAAGAATCACTTTTCTCATCCTGCTGATCCTAATTTTGTTAATAGAGTGTGGCATGTGGGTAGTTTTCATTCCTGCAATAACAATGTCAACTCTTGCAGAAATTGATAGAAAAAAAAAACACTGAAATAAAAGGATTTTTCTATCCTTGCTTTGAGTCTCCTAAGAACCTAGCTATTTTTACAAGGATTTCTAAAGCAGAATACTGGCAGAAAACTTTGAGGAAATTAAGTCTTTGCTGGCATGAATACAGATTTCTGGTGTCTTTGTAACAAAGTAAGATTGTATTTTGCAGTCACTTGGAAGTCCACAACATCCAACTCTGGATTCTACAAACTAAAGTTTGGAACCAATTTAGAACCAGTTTGAAGGTATTACAACATTATAAAGTAATTTATTATGCCATCAAGTCTTGGAACACACAAAAAGTAAAGAACAAAGTCAAAATAAAATATCCTTGAATCTGAACTTCCATATGCAAGAAACATAAGGACTGGTTAATCAAAAAATCCAGAATGATTACCTAAGCAAGTATAACAATGCATACTATGCGTCAAAATATCAGTGTTAAACATACCTATTGTGCAGGCTACAAAATATACTCTGGATGATTGCACCTGAATATCAAATCTATGGCAATAGGCCACCAGTAAACCTAGGAAAGAAAAGAGAATTATAACATGTTTTCAACCCATCCACATATTAAGATAAATGAAAACATCAATCTCAGAACTTTTAAGATAGTTTTCAGTACTTTTGTACTCCCATGTTTAAGAGCTATGAGCGAATCATTCAGGAAACTGCACAGCTTACAGGCAGTTGCACAACCAAAGCAATCTAATAGCTACGTTAACATCTACAGATACTGAGATCCTGCAGGACCAGATTTGAATGAATAGCATTTGTTACATATTGTGAAGTATCTCTCTCCCAACTAACTGAAGCTCCGTACATGAAGATCAATACAAGAAATATAACTCCAGAGGTGATATAATTTTGTCAGACATGATATTCTAAAAGCAACAATTTTAAGTGTAAGATTGGGTTGGGGGAGGGAGGAAAGCACAAACAGCTGAAGCTTCCCTACACAAGAAAACAAACAAAAAAATTGTCAGAAGTTTGAAAGCCAGAATACACATTTTTTTCAGCTACAATAGCATTAGGTGTACTTCCAGATACTGTCTGATGCCACATTGAGAGGTGTGGTGGTAGCACTGGATTAGTTGTCTGATTAGTAATTACTAAGTTTTGAGTGGTCAGGTATGTGCCATCTCAAATCATGGGCAAAGGGACGAGTAGATTCCTCATCATCACACCATTAAAAATGTCTATATCAAAACACCATTTGCAGAATTAATTCTTCAAATTTCTCTACATTTCTTTACTTCACTGAGTGAGCAACTGAACATAAAATTAAAATGCATTTTCTTGCTGAAAAGAAGTGCAGGAAAAAGGCATACTTTGAAATTTACCAAGTTTACACAAGTCAAAACAAGCTTTCCGTTTGAAATGGAAGAAGAGGAGGAACTAATTTGACAGTGCAACAAGTACAATTCTTAACACAGCAAAGAAGAAATACCTGGAACTAAGATGTCTCCAAATCCTAGGAGAGAAAAAGGTCTGTCACACAGAGCCAGTGGGGAGGAGTTCAGTCGTGGGACCTTCAAGACCATTGGGAGCTTAGAATAAAAGAGACATAAGCCCTATGAAAAAAACTTTTCTCTATATACTGACACCAGATCTTGTTCCTGTTGTGCTGAAACTGAAGACTACAGATAGAGCAAATGTATATACACACACATATATATATATTCACGTTATAAATCCTTATGTTAAGTATATTTTGTTAACATTACTGACAACAAACAAACTGTAGTTGAGTTTAGATGTGGTACTGAGGGACATGGTTTGGTGGGAAATACTGGTGGTAGGTGGATGGTTGGATGGAAGACCCTGGAGGTCTTTTCCAACCTTGGTGTCTCTATGATTCTATGACATGAGAGCAATGAAATATTTAAGTTCTCAGTAAGAAAGACATTTCACAACTCTGTATATTAACTTAAAAGTCCTCAAATGCCATAGGGTATGAACTCTCTTTTAACTGTAGAAAAACTGAGGTTAGCTGCCACATGCATAAGAAATAGCTTTATATTTGGTTCTACTGGATGCAGTGAAAGTATCAAAAGTGCGAAGATTTTTGAATCACTATAAAAGGTCATTTTCTCCATCACTCCGAAGACTTACTTTTGTGGGTGTTTTTTGAAGTTTCTGCTTACGATATAAATTGTAGAGCTGAGACACAGTAGGGCAAGGCTCAGGGCAAACATATATATTCTAATACATAACATCAAAGACTATTTATTTTGCTTACGTTAATGCCAAAGTAATTGTATCTAATTATACTATAATGGCACAGAACTGTTGATTTTTGACTTCTCTTTTCTGTGTCCAGTATAAGTTTCCCCCCCATTGCCTCACCTCAGCTTTTCATAAAACAGTTATCAAAACTGGGCTGGCTGGAGAGGAAGAAAGAGACAAACACCATATGAATTAAAATGCTTCTGGTAAAAAATGGATATACTTCATTAGGAATAGTGTTATTTTCAGATACGGGCTCATGTTTTTGTGAAACCAAGTTAATCAGTTTGCTTTTTTTAAAAGCAAGATTCAAGACCAAACCTATCATGATGAGTCACTCAAGTCTGTTTTGTCTCATTTCTGTTGTAGATTTTCAGAGAACTCTAAAGTGCTTGTTTCCATGCAAAATTCTTTTTGGAGTGGCATTTCCATTTCGGATCTGTGGTCTTTGAGTTTTACAGAAGATGAAATCTTAAAAGCTGGAACGTAATGCTTTATATTCAGACTACATACAATACCTTTTCATGAGTGGCAGAATCAGATGGGCCTGCAGCCACTTCCACCATTATACTCTCTCCAGTCTAGAAAAAAAATGGCAAAGCTGTAAATGAGCACATCACTCAGCAGTCCAGGGGTTATTTAGGAACACAGATAAATAGGCCATTGCTTTGCTCTGTGAGCAGCAGGCATGAGAGAAATATTGCACTTACCTTTGTTAGAAACGGTGTGATAAATACAAAGAATACATCATAGACAAAAAGAACGAGGAGGAGCAAGGTACAACCCTGGAGAAAGAGACAAGATACTTGGTGTACAATTATATACTATGCATTAGTAGATAGCAGAGAGTAATCAGCAACTCAAGAGTATTAAAAGCAAAATGTGAATTCCCAAGTATTTTAAAAACAGAAGAATATCACCATATGTGCAGCTAATAAAAGAAAATCACATGTTAGTCCCTTAAACTCCTGATGCTGTAAAACTTGGAAATACTCTTTTAACACTTTAGGAAATAGCGAAAAGTTCTGTATTTTCTGAAGTGTGCTACATAAAGTTTAAAGAAGTATTTAGATTTTCTTGGCCAATATACATGGGACAAAATTTACAGGTACAGATAACTTGGAACAGAGTTTGAAAGTGCTGCCTGAGAAACAACTAAATGTTAATGCTAATTTTTATTTTAGAGTGCTGAATACATTCTGGAAGACTTGGAAGGAGCCAGAATATTGCATCCACAATGTGTGTTATTTTGGGGGGAAAAAAACCCAACAAACTAAAGCAGAGGGTGTAAGCTACTCTACTTTAATTTGCAGCAAAATAGACGTAGAGAAGAATTGAAAAATCGCAGCTGACAGATCTCCACAAACAGCAAAATATATGAGGTAATCACATTTAATGACATCTGCATGACCTGAAGCTTCAGCATTGATTTTTAATAAAACCTAAAACATGAAATCACCACTTTATGGAAGGTAAGTTTACAGGTGCAGTGCAGTTGATAAGTAAACCAACTGATTTGTAAACTGATGCATCTTTGATATGATAGGATGAGAAAAAAAATCACAGATGTAATAATAGGATAGAGAACATCCTATTATTATGCAAAACAACAGCTTTGAAGAGTAAGATTTATGCAAGGGTCACTGCTAGCGTGATTCCTGAACCTTATAGTATCTCTACAGTTACTGGGATTCCAATGTTACTGGAAGACTACATCTAGTTCTATGGTATGTTATTTCATTTAGGAAGGATGCTGATGAATTAGGGAGTTTAAAAGAAGGGAGTGTGATTAAGTTACTGAAAAATCCTTAACCAGCAAAACTCAAAATCCAGAAGTTACTTGAAGCATATACCAGATTCATTATTTTTCTTCATTAAGCTTGACAGAGAAAACTCGAGAGTAAGCTGCTGGTCTTTTTGCCTTTACTTCCCTGCTTTCTGACAATCTAAACACACTATATCAAGTTTATGAATACTCCATTGTAAGTGACTCCTCAGTTCAACTATACAACTATTAAACATCTGTTTAACATCCATACCTTAAATGTAGGCAGGCGAATTGTTTTCAGCATGTAAAGACAGAAAGCAATTCCTAAAGCATCTTGCAGAACCCAGGCCCATCTAAAGGAAAAGAAAAAAGTTACATTTTTGCAGGAAATTGTAAAAGATTAAGTCTTGTTCTCACTAAGCACCTGCTTGGGACAAATGAACAAAAAAACACTTTTTTCAAATCAACATCGTAGTTATCATGGATTCACAAATGGAAAGTTGTGATGACCAACCTGATAACTGTCTAAAATGAAATGACTAGTTGCTTTGATGAGCAATGGATATTGTTTATCTGGACTTCAGGAGGGCTTTCAGCACAGTGTCTTCCATCAGATCCACGTAGAAAGATGTTGATACACAGGCTGGATGAGCAGATAGTGAGATAGGCTGATGACTGGCTGAAAGGTTAGTCTCAGAGCGTGCTGATTCAGTGACACAAAGACTAGTTGAAGTCTGGTATCTAGCAGTGTACCCCAATGGTCCATTTGGGGTCCAATCCTGTTTAACATAAATATTAATATTCTGGATGATGGGCAAAGTGTAATGGTGACAGAGCACAGGAACAGGCTGCCCAGAAAGGTGGTGGAGTCTCCTATGGAGATATTCAAGACCCGTCTGGATGCCTACTTGTGTGACCTATTGTAGGGAGCCTGCTTAGCATAGGAGTTGGCCTCGAGCTCGAGCCCTCTTCCAATCCCTGCAATTCTGCAGTCTTAAGAGCAATCAAAAGGTCTTTGAACAAATACCATCTCAGAGTGTGATTAAGCTTACACACCAAATTTTCATATGTATTTAGTGCCACTAGCTGCTTTTTAAATTCTACTTTTTCTATGAATGTAATCCTTTTCAATATCTGAATTTATTTTTTCCCCCATGAATGATTAGTTTTAGAATGCTTCTGAAGAAACACTAGAGATTATACCTATCATTATAAATTAGTAGCAACACGCTGTGGTCACAATAGTTTAAAGAGAGTGTGAATAGACAACTAAATTAGCTCTACTAAAATCTGTGACAAAATATTTTAAAATCTACTTACATACCTTGTCTCACACGTAAGATACACTGTTCTCTCATTTTAAAAAATAAAAATGCAGCCATAGCTGCTGTTGGTATAGTCACTAACAAAGACCAGGATAGAAAAACAGATTCATTCTTGGTTAATAATGAAGAATCATTCTATTGTGATTTACAGTAACTTATCCTAGTGGAATACATCTTTGTATGCCGGTCTTTCAAAAGGCAGGTTCAAAATGACACACTCTTCAAAGGGAACAAAGTGTGAATCATCCACAAAAAGTCACAAATCCCTTCAGAGGCTGCTAAAATCTATTCATTGGGTGAAACAGCTGAAAATCTCCTGTCTAGCAACCTCAGTGAAGGGAAGAATGCCAGAACAAGTAGGAATAAATTTTTAACTAGTGGTCATCAAATACAGAGGGGCTGAATTGCAATCTTGCTGTCAAAATCTGTGTGTGAAATGGTAGGTACTAAAAAATAAAACATGAAGTATCTTTTTCATGCACTGGTATAAATAGGGGATAAAGTTGCAGGAAGAAGGATGTGCATTTAAAGTTGACAGAAGTTCTGTAGAACTTTTAATATCCACTAGACTAAAAGCAAGAGGAAAAGGTCAGTTTTCTGAGCAACATCCCAGGTAAAAACAAACCAGTGACCTTGCAATGTGAGGAAGTCCTCACAGATAGCTGTACTGCAATACTGAAGTACAGCAATCATTTGTACCCTCAGTGCTGGGCTTTGATCCTCTTCATGGAGGATACAAAGGATCTGATAAGATTTTTGGCTCTCAACACGTGAAAAAACAGCTGGTGTTCATTAGAGAGTGCTGTACATTGAAAACGGGGCAAGAAGTTCCCAATTATCTCCCCACACTGAATTCTCTCAGCCTGTATGGAAGAGGTCAACGTGACCATGAATACCAAAATAGGAAGTCCTCAGGTCTTTTGACTCATGTATAAATGTATAGGAGTTGCATGCTGAGGGACATCTACAGTTTGGGCTATTTGTTGATTGTATTTGCAAATTAAGTCTATAAGAACTAAAGCTCTTTGCTTTACTCTTGGTCACTAGGATAAAACTGAAGTAGGATTTGAGTTACAAAACACTAGGGTTTCCCTACAATTGCTGAAGTACCACAGCAATATTGGACATAGTTTCTTTCAGCTGTCTGGTACGAGTAAACAATTCTCTAAAGATCTGACAATCATCATAGCTCTTGTTCTCTCAGAATAATGCTCAAGGAGACCACCATCTGAAGGAATAAATTATACAACTTGTGCAAATTTCTACATCACTTCTGTAAAGCAATCTGAAACCACTGAGATCAGAGTATTGACTGGGACTCCAGTCCAAATTAAGCCTGAATTTTCTGGGAGAAATTCAGGTTTAAGAAGGGAAAGTTTTCTGTAACTTAAACCAACCAGGCAAAGATAAAGCACATTAGGAACAGCTATGGATTTCTGTCCAGGTCTCTAGTTTCCTTACTGTAATGCCTAAATTTTAGGATAGGAGTCTGCTTCTGCAGATGTCAATAACTTATCACATCATGCATACTATAGTCTTCTTGTATAGAAACTAAAATATATACTTACTGATCTTCATTTCTGAAGACTCCCCAGACTACACTGACAGAGATACAGAACACAGCTAACAACAACATCCGGACCTGTGGACGCTTGTGGAAATAAGGCAAGTTGTTGTCTGGGATTCTGCAAGTGAAACACAAACAGGTACAGTTACCTGTGTAATTACTCTGCTTCTTCATAGACATTTTTGTACATGAAACTACCCTGTAAATCCCTTACCTACCCTATAATTTAATATACAATATTATATTATTCTAATATAATATATTAATATATTATATATTATAATATAAACATAATAAACAATACACAATATAAAAGTATACTTCTGCCTACAAAAAAAAATTCAAGTTGCCACATACCTACACTTTCCCAATGGGAATCTTCTTACAAAAGGAGACAGACAACTGTAAAGGCCAATTGAGGCAGCCAGGCAGAATATTCCTATGATAACATAGACTGAAAAATAAAAAATGGTAAGTCCAAGAAGGTAAGAGATGCTTTCTTCCAATCAAAAAGCTTGAATGAGAAACAGTCTTAAATCTCATGTGTGAAAATTAAATACAGATACAGAGATTTTATATAGTTGTTGATTAGATTTATGCCCTTTAAATATCCATCTCCATCATATTTTACTCTGGTGTACTTCATGCAATAGCTACTTTAACAAATTAAAAGCTCTTTGCTAATATTCTTTAAACACACCATTAAATCATAAGCCAAAGAGGCAATTTGTGGTGAAGTACTTATCTTCTCACTACGAGTTCATACGAATTTCATAAGGGAACTCTTAAAACCATTCAATAACAAAATGAATAAACACAGATGGGATACATCTTTCACAGCTTCCTCAGAAAAATGAGGATGGAAGAGTGTCAACATCTTATGACTCTTCAACTTGACCAAAAAAGTCATCAACAGAAGCTTACCACACTTATAAACCTCAAACTTGTTAAGAATAGAAAGGAGAGTTAGAGGTAAACTCTGACGAAAAACAAAGATTTAACGACTTACACCTCTTATATACATGAAAGGCTTTAATGCTTGAAAGAATTACTGCGATCACCTAATCCAACCTCACTACAGTCTACCTGCACTGAGAACACATGGCAGAGGACAGTTGTTTCATAATCACTTCTACCTTAAAAACGTGCAAAGGCAGACCAGTGCTACTGAAGATATGTCAACAAAAATGCAACTTTAAAAGTACCTAAGTGGTCATAAAAGAAATAGAGGAGGACCAGCATTGAGCAGCACATCACTACAAACACACAGATCATTATTGGAGTCACATCAACTGTTTCATCATCATGTTTCTCTGCCCCATCATCACGTTTGTGCTTCATGTATCGCCTGAAACAGAAATAGAATTAGTCAGACCATTACTTTTGCAGCAAAATAAAGGGCACTGCATCTTCAGGAAGTTACATGGGGTGGGAAATAATGACTGTATTTCCACTCAGGTTGTCACTGAATTATTGTATAAGGAGTACTGTTTTTTCATTAACTAACAACTCTGAATACTGAAAATCACTACGGAATCAGCTTGTGCAAAGCAAATGTTGGAAATGTGTAGCATAGATCTCCTTCTCCCCATCTACTCATGAAAAGTAGCCACTAAGTTTCAGTAAAACGTTCAAAATGAACATGGTGTTAACCATCTAATGGTTAACAGACATCTGTCTGTTTTACACTATCCCAGCAAAATACATTTCTATAATTTTCACATAAGATCTTTAAAGATGAATCTTTGAAAAGCCCAAATAGGAAGTAGATTCCAACCCAATTTTCCTTCTGAGGTTTTTTAAGTGTATGGGTTTTTTGTTTTTTTTTTAAAAAGGGTAAAGCATTAAGGTACTGTCCATGAATATTATACATCAAGCTTAAGGGCTCTTAGACATCATGCTAACATCTTCCTAACTCCAGTTGCAGAGCCTCTAAACCTCATCAGCACAGCTACCATCCACCACCATGGTTCCCCCCCACCCCAGGCAAAAACACAAGAAGAAAATTGGCACATTACTTTCCCAGTACTCACTTTTTCACATCTCTGCTTCCTGCCCAGTAGCCTCCAATTGCCACAGTCCCCACAGCCATGACAAATATAATGACCATGTTGTAATCGAGCACAGGCTCATTTGGTGCATACATTGCTCCCTTCACTGACCTGCCAAAGCTCTGCAGAGGCAAGAACAAATGGAGGAACTTGGGGATCACTCTTTAGTAAGAACCACCCTACTCTAAATCTCTCAAATTTGCTTTTTATATTACTTTTCCTTAGTAAAAATATTTAAACAGAAAAAAAGCTAGGTGTTAGAGGCAGGGCAAGCCAACAGCATTCAAAGTACACTACTAAATTAGGACTATTCCAAAGCAAGGCTGAAAAAGATATACAGCACGGACAGTGGATCCTCAGCAACAACTGTTCTTCTCTCCTTTCTATGCTGTGCTAATTCCACTGAACTAACAAATTCCTTAGTGCACGATATGAACAAGTTCTAGCCAACTTGCTTTTAAAAGTGGACTTAATATTATAGACTACTGTTTTTTGAAAGGCACGTATCATTGAACTTCTAATATCCACATCTTCATTAGGATTTGGTCCTCAGAACCAGTGTCCTGGTTACATGGTGCCCACAATTCCAGCAGTCAGGGCAGCAGCTTTTTCAGAACTTGCAGGGAGTTTTCAGAACTGTCTGGTGATGAAACTCTTACCTCTAACAGGAGTATTTTAATTTGCATATCTGACACACTTTTGGACACTATCCAGAACAACACCCTTACTCTTGATCCATCAAAAACAGAAGTGGCATCAAGGTGGGTTTTATTTTTTTAGAAAATATCTTACTGTCCATAAAATAACTGATTCATATAAAAAGGTTACTTTACCTAAAATCACCACTTTGCCATACTCAGAAAAACTCATACACGAAGATACTGAATCCCCTCTGATAAGGGCTCCCTGATGCTTTTACATAACTAGCACTGTAGACTTCGAAAAAGCCACCTCAGCAAAGGTTCAGTTAGTTTTCAATTAGCAAACTCAGAAAGGGACAGACTCTTTAGCAGTGTCTGCTGTGATAGAACAAGGGGAAATGACTCCAAGCTTAAACAAGGAAATTTAGGTTGGATATAAGGAAGAAGCATTATACAGTGAGGGTGGCGAGGCACTGGCAGAGGTTGCCCAGAGCTGTAGTGGATGCTCTGTCCTTGGAGACATTCAAGGCAAGTCTGGGTCAGGCCCTGGGCACCATGATCCAGCTGTGCTGCCCCTGTTCATTGCAGTGGAGTTTGACTAGATGATCTTTAAAGGTACCTTCCAACTCTAAGGCTTCTATAATTATATAATGAAGCGTTATTGCAAGTCCTTTAAAGCAATCCATTAGCTCTACTGTTTGTAGTATTTATTTCCAGAACGAGGCTCTGTTTTTATTCTTAAGATGAGAAATAACCTCCTAAGACAACAGCATTTCTAAAAAATAAAATGTACTGCCTTTTTGAGTATAACTCTTTACGGATCCAGAGCTCCCAATATGAGCTACGCATTCTGTTGACCAATGAATCATTTAAAATAGTTTAAATCAGAATATAAAGCTTACCTTAACAATATCTAACATATCAGAATAGCTGAGCAGAGCAACGGGAATATCAATCTCTTCATATTGGCTCCTGTTACCCCCTGGAGGGACCTAAAAGACAGATCAAAACAGGCAAAAAAGAATTTATTTCTGCAAAAGCCTTCTACTCTTTCAAAAGAGTTCAAGTTTTATTTTCTGTTAATCTAGAAAATATTATGAAAAGGAACATAATGTACAGTAACCTAAAGTTACCTTTACACAGGCAAACCATCAAAAAATCCAAAACACAATACAAAACAGGAAAAATACTGCTAATACCTTATCAGAGCCTTAAACCAATTTCAAAACTGCCTAACACTTTTATTTGCTCATCATATACCCCTCTAACACTCCAATGTAGACACAAGTGTGGAAAAAAATAACCAACAAACACACACACACACAAAAACCAGAGAGCATCTTCTCTTTTTGGTTCCATACTGAGCAGAAAAAATCTCGTTTTAAGAATCACGTTATTTAATTTCACTGGTGTCTGTATTCTCCCTTTCATACGTACACAAAATGATCCCTGAAACTGCTGGGACAAGGGCAAAACAGATTCACACCAATCCTTAAAAGTGACAAGATTTCTGAGCCCAGTAGACTTTTCATCACAGATGTTTCAGAGAAGCTAGATCAATTTGTAGACAATATACAGGAAGAGGTTGAACCACACAACTGAATAACATTTTTATGAGTGTCCCATAAAACCTGCAATGTATAACTGGTTAACAGCCCACGATATACATCACTGTAGCCACAGCATTAGAAAACAAAAGGGTTGTCCCATTCAAGTAAAAGAATTGAGAGTAGATGGTGAGAACTAAACTACTGAACCAGAGAATTGCCAAGGTTGGAAGTTGGAAGGGATGCCTGATGTTGGTCTACTCCAATTCTGCTTTGAGAATGAAGACCAGTCTTTCACCTAAGTTAAAATATCAAAGTTAAGCGGTCAACAGATTTAAACCCAGCCGGTGGCCAGTTACAAGAGGTGCACCCCAGGGCTCAGTAGTGGGGCCATTCCTATTTAACACCTTCATCAATGACCTTGATGAGAGGATTAAGTGCACCCTTAGTAAGCTTGTAGATGACACCAAGTTGATCAGCTGGATGGCAGTGGATGGCAGAAAGGCAGTACAGAGGGACCTGGATAGACCAGATCGAAGGTCTGAGATAAACCGTATGAGTTCCAATAGGGCCAAATTTTGGTCAAACAACTCCAGGCAATCCTACAGGCTTGGGGAGGGTTGGCTGCAAAACTGCCTAACAAAGAGGAGCAAGCTGGTCTCATTCCACTAGTGACAGGATGAGGGGAAATGGCCTCAGGTTGCACCAGGGGAGGTTTAGGGTGGATATGAGAATAAACTTCTTTACAGAAGAAGTTGTTAAGCACTTAAATGGGCTCCCCAGGGAGATGTGGATGAGTTACTACCCCAGATGTGTTTAAAAACTGTCTGGATGTGGTGCTCAGGAACATGATTTAGTGACAAATTGTTAAAATTAGGGTAGTATAGTTAGGCTGAGGTTGGACTTGATGATCTGGAAGGTCTTTCCCAACCTGAGGCATTCTATGATTCCTGCGTACCCCATCCAGGTCCTAGAAAGTCACTATAAAGTCTCCTCAGAGTCTTTTCTTCTTCAGGCTGAAAAGCCCCAGCTCTCGCAGCCTGTCCCACAGCAGAGGTGCTCAAGCCCTCTGATCAGCCTCATGGCCCTCACCTGGACCCACACCAACATCTCCATGTCCTTCTTGTGTTGCAGCCCCAGAACTGAACGCAGTACTCCAGGTGGGTTCTCACAAGAGCAGAGCAAAGGGGCAGAATCACCTCCCTTGCTCTGCTGGTCACACTCCTCTTGATGCAGCCCATGATCTGGTTGGCCTTCTGGGTTGCGAGCATACGCTGCTGGCTCTCACTGAGTCTTTCACCCACCAACACCCCCAAATCCTTCTCCTCAGGGCTGCTCTCAAGTCATTCTCCACCCAACCTGTATCTGTGCTTCGCACTGCCCCAACCCAGGTGCAGGACCTTGCACTTGGCCTTGTTGAACTCCAGGAGCTTGGCATGGGCCCACCTCTCCAGCCTGCCCAGGTGCCACAGGATGGCATCCCTTTCCTCAGGCATGTCAATTCTCCATGCTTTCACAGCAGTGCATTCCATGATGACCAAGAGTTTTGAGGAACTCCTCTCCTTCACGGCTGCCTTCTCCACTCCACATTTTTATTCTCAGAAATTCACCTAAAAGCCTTTGCAAGAAAATTATACCACAAGCTGATTGATGTGAGAACAGAACTACAACTGGCACTTAAAGAAACATGAAACACACACAACAGGGTCTTGTAGAGGGGGGAACAGAGCATGCCAGAGTGTGGAACACATACAGGGACAAACTCAGACCCCAGGTAAGAGAAGAAGGGTCACAGAGACAGCAGTGGGTGGAAGACGCAGAATATCTGAGAAAGAATTACTTTGTGCTTCTGGAAAAGGACAGAGACTGTAAGGCTGTAGGACTGGGAGCCCTGCAGCAGCCTGAGCCACAGGTAGGGCAGGGGCTACAAGTGGCCCATGCAGGGGGGACAGGAAAATGCTCTACCATGGAGCAGATGCACAGGGAGGGCCTTGGCAGCGGGGCTGCACCCAGCCAACTCTCACAGGGCACGGCCTTGTCACCAGCATGGCACTGTGCACACCTGCGAACCACAGGAAGGGCTTAGAGGAGCTCCTGAGAAGAAGAGATGTGTTGCCAGGGCCTCCTGGGCAGGACAAGATCAGAAGGGCTCCTTTCAGCCATGGGAACCTCAGGCATTCAGCCAGCACTCAGCCACATTTGCACGGGCTCTGGGAAGGAAAAAGCACTCCTCCCACTGCTGTGCTACAGGGCCCTGTTCCCCCTCCCTCTCATCACCTCCTGCCTGGCTTCCCGTAGAGGTGGGAGAAAGGGAATGGCTGTGATCTTCATGCTCACACAGCCTAAGTACCATCAAGCCCCAGCTCAAGAACAACTGATTGCTTTCTCTATTACATGCACGGTACAAGGCAGAAGCCCCATCCCAGGCAGCACCAGCCCTGCTATGTCATGGCCTGAAGAGGCAGCTCAGAAATTCGACTAGAAGTCAGCTTAAAACAAATTTTATTTATTAAGATACTGGGCAATGATCTTCCAAAAATCTGCAACAGAAGAAGGCTATGAAGGCAGTGGACAACCCTCCAAAATCTAAGTGCTATTCATTATACAACTGTGGCCTACAATCAAACCTGTTTTTGCAGTTTAACTTGCAATGACAGCAGTAACAAAATTTAAGAGATATTCCTGCTTCCAGTAAAGCATAACTAACAACTGCAACAGCAAAATGCAATAACCAAACTTCAAGCAGTATCTTTTACACTTAACACATCTCTTTAGTATTGACTACACTAATAAAACATTCATTTTACAAAACATACACTGGTGCTCCAACTGAATCTTGTGCTCTATAGCCCACTGAAGGTATTCAGTTAGCCCTTCCTTCTTTGATTGCAGTATATTATATAACGTAAAGATAATTCTGAGCCCTTGATTTGGATTTTACAGAGGCTGTGTGCAGCATTCTGCCTACTCAAGTAAGCATACCCTCTAATTTATTTAATTCATCTGTATTGTTTTCCACTCACAGCTGGGCAATGTAGAAACGTATAAAAATTAAATAATATGTGCACTTAAAAAGGAAAATCAAATACCTGCAACAATCACTGAAAATAAGCCAGTATCTAACATTATAGCATCAGTAATACAGAAAGACAAAAATAGACTTACCAGTCTCTCTCTGCTAACAATCAGCAGCCCACGAGCTCCATTTATCTGAGCAAGCCTCACTTTCTCATAGAAGGTGCAGTTCCCTCGCATCACCATGGGGATTCGATTATTAAACCCCCCATCAGGTACATCAGAAGGAGAACACAAAACAGATGCTGTCTGATCCTGCAGTTGCAAGAGTGACTAAAAAGAAATAAATTTTTTAATATATACTTATTTTTAACCAAAAGCAAATAGCACAGGGGGGTATCTAAAACTCAATTTAGAATATTCTCAGAGAAACAGTAGTGTTGTCCTCTCTACAGGGAGGGGAGGTGAAACAGAGGTTGTATGTAATGAAGATGCTGCACTGTAAGGTGCTTGCACTTGGCAGTGACACATTTGAGACTCTGGGAGTCTTTTTGTAAGTTTACTATAGACCACCCAGCCAGGAGGATGATGCTGATGATTCTTCAAGGAGCTATGAGATTCATCTAAACCAGGTGTCCATGTCCTTATAGGTACAGTCAGTTTGCCATGAGTAAGCTGGGAATACCAAACAGAAAAAGTAGGACCAGAGACAACAGTGGCCTGTTACTTGATGAGTTGGTCACTTTATAAATAGGGGTACAAACAAGGCATAGATACCTGTTTTCAGCACCATTGATGAATCCTGGAGCTGTGAGTTGGAGGATTATTATTGAGGATATCATAAACTCCCAGACAACCTCAAACTTGTGCAGAACTTGCTAGATGCATGCAAGTCTATGTGGACTAATAGGTACCAATCCCAGGGTACTCAAAGAATTGGCTAATGTTGTCACAAAACCTCTCAATTATTTTTTCAACAGTCTTGAGAATTTGGAAGGGTCCCAGCAAACAGGAAGGTAGAAAGTGTTGTCCCAGTTGTCAAGAGGAGCAAGGAAAAAGACCATGGGAAAAAGCACCCCCAAAGGGCTGACGGTGCCCTGGGGTGCACCCAGCTCAGCACTGCCACCAGGAAAGGAAAGAGGCTGTCCCACTCCTGAGCTCGAGGTGAGGCTATACTGGGCAGAGCAAGCTCTATCAGAGCTGAACACAAACACAGAGGAAGCTCAGCCTGCAGCACCTCTTTTATTAAATTGTTTTGCTGGAGTACTCAAGGGTAGGAGGAGTTGGAATGGAAAGAGAAGAAAGGCTGAGGGAGCACTAAGGAAGAAAATCAGGATTAGCAGAGAATATACCAAAGAAATTAAAATCTACAAAAGACAGGTCTACGAAGTACATCTATTTCAATCCGGCATAAGCTTTTCTGAACTATATTAGCTCATGTTGAGATACTGAAATGTGTCTCCATGAATTTTTATGAGATAGTTGAAACAAAATGGCTACAGGAGGCTCCAAATATCACAAATCTTAGAGTAACTCCTAGGGCAGTCTGTCTGGATCCAGCTGAACAAGACCCTAAGTCTCAAACCAGCTTTATGCAGTATATGAATTTTCTGTACACTGGACTCCCACCTCTGCCACTGAAACGATGTAGTCCAGGCACAAACTTACTCTTGACCTGACTGCTGCAAAGAATTAATTCATAGAATTATAGACTTGTTTGAGTTGGAAGGGACCCTTAAAGGTCATCTAGTCCAACTCCTCTGCAAAGAACAGGAACATATAAAACTTCATCTGGTGCTATCAGTTTCATCAGAATGCTATCCAACCTGACCTTGAATGTCTCCAGAGATGGGGCATCCACCACCTCACATAAGCAACCTGTGCCAGTGCCTCCAACAACCTTATTGTTTAAAAACAAACAAACAAACATTTTTTCCTTATATCCAATCTAGAATTCTCCTCTTAAAGTTTGAAACCATTTCCCTCCGTCCTATCACAAAATCCCTGCTAAGAAGTCCATCCCCTTCTTTCTTACAGCCCCACTTTAGAAACAGAAAGACCACTTCTCAGGTTTCCCCAAGAGCCTTCTCTTTTCCAGACTGCACAGCTCCAGCTTTCCCCTCACAGGGAGGTTGCCCCATCCCATGGATCATTTTTGTGGCCTTCCTCTGGATGTGCTCCAACAGCTCTACATCTCTCCTTTACTGATGACTCCACAACTTGATGCACTACTCCAGGTGAGGTCTCACCAGTACAGAGCAGAGAAACAGGATGACCTCTCTCACCCTGCTGGCCACACTGCTTTGGATGCAGCCCAGGATACCACTGGCTTTCTGGGCAGTGAGGGCACATTGCTGACTCATATCCAGCAGCCACCCACCACTACATACAAGTCCTTCCTGGCAGTGCTGTATTCAATCCCTTCATCCCCCAGCTTGTAATGATAGCAGAGGTTGTTGTGACCCAGGTATTTCTCTTTGGATTTATGGTATGATTACATGGATTTTGGCCAGATGTCATGTATATTCCAAGTTATCTTCTTAGAAGGTGTGGTGCTATTATAAATGGATAGAATCACTGCCTAAGAGGCAACTTTACTGGTAAAAGTGAAGTGTAAAGGGCATAATAGCAAAAGCCTCTCAGATCTTAAAAGATCCCTCAATAGTTCATAAATTCAAGACTTTGATATTTAATGTCTTGCCCTTTCACAAGCACAAGTTTAGCATGAACAGAGCCTTGGGCAACCTAATCTAAGGCCTTGCTTTCAAAGCTGGACCAGAAAACCTCCCCAGGTTCCTTCCTGCTTTGATTTGAGTACGCTTTTTACTAAAGCCACCTAAACAAGCCCATAAGTGTGAGCTGTAAATATATACTTTTAGCTTACAGAAATACAATCCTTCTTACAAAGGACTCCCTCAACTCAGTCATCTTGTTTACACAGTCTGAATAACTGACTAATGTATAATTAATCTCTGCAAAATTGCATCTTCTAGGAATATAGATCAGACACAAAAACTCCACATAATAAAGAGGTCAAAGAAGCAAGGTGATAGTTTTCTCCTCCTCACATTCTAGCTATTCCTCTCATCTGTTAGGGAGCAAGTTCCTGCTACTGGTGTCTTTGTCCTCTTCAATTCTCTCACAGAAGAGTGGAAAAAAAAAAAAAATGAGTCAGTTGTCAGTTCATAGAGCCTCAGATAACAAAAACAAGTTGACACAGCTCATAATTGCTTATACCTAAATTTAAGAAAAGAATGAACTAATAAGAAAGCACTAGAGGTCATCAAGGTATCAGGAAGGACCTGTATCTTTTTTGTACCATACTGACATACAAGAACTCCTTTCCAAACACAGTTGCGCTCTATTCTCATTTATTTAATCACTATGTGCAGAAGAAAGATTTTTTGTTGTGAACCTGAAATAGTTGCTTAGGCAGTGCTATAATGGTGATACTCCTTTCTATGGAGACTGCAACAGATAGAAAATATTTTCTGAGTAGAGCAAGCTTCAGATTCTACTAAGATACAAATTAGAACTTTCCCCTACAACAAGGGCAATTTTAAGTACATTCTTTTAGTTGCTTAACTTGGTACTTACAGCTTTACCCAGATCATGTGGCAGATGGGCCCACTGGGAGTTGAAGAGGATACAGTAGTCCTTGCCTTTGCTGCTCCCTTTCTCTGAAAGGACATGGACCATTCCATACTCGCAGTACACCTGAAAACAACAAGCATTCAATAGAGCCTTATTCAATACATGTTTGAATTATATAATACAGAAGTAATGGGCTTAACTTACTGCTGATTAGCCTGCTTCTTACCTAAGAAAAAAAAAGATTTTACAAAGTTTCATTATCTGCAGAAGGAGTACAGAGAAGAGTAAACATGGCAGCATGCAGTGAAAATACCAGGTTAAGCACATTCTCAATTACGACATATTTAACTATTACAGTCTGTCTGTACAGAGAAGTGTTCCAACCGCTACATGTTCCACTTAATAGAGATGTTTTCAGCTTCCCATTCCTGCAAAGCAGTGTAGGACAACAGATTCTCTATTATTTTGGTTATGTCAGAGTGTATCAAGTCATTTTCCATCAAAATTCAGAGTTAGGGGCTAGCATAGTTGAATACAAACCAACAGAATTACCTAAATACAGTTGTTTGGAAGTATCCAGTACAGTGAGAAGAAAAAACCCACTTCCTTACTGTGGAATCTTCGCCTACCTTTTTATTCTTCACAACAAACTGTTCTTTTGTTCCCTTCTTTTTTTCCCCCTTGTGAGCACCAGATATATTCCCATTGTCTAACCAGGAAGCTAAACAAATGCTAACTACAAGAACTTATATAGAACCTGCACAAGTATTTTTGTGGAGGTGATGTAGTTTTCTACTTGTACATCAAGTCCCAGGAGGTAAACATCAGGCAACCAGATGCCAGGAAGAAAAACTGTGGAAGTATGTGCAACTTTCCTACCACTAACTACAGAGATGGAAGTTTTACATATGCTAGTAGAGACTTAATTTCCACATTAACTGAACAAAATAGCTTATAAATGCTCTTTGTTCTCAAAAATTGAGGGAGAAGTGAATCACAAAATCACCACAGTTGGAAAAGACCTCCAAGACCATCAGTCCAACCATCAATAATTCCCTATTATATCATGTCCCTTAGTACAACATCTAAACCAAGTATATCTTACAGCTCCTGCAGCAAAAGGGCCCTGGTGCAAGTGCTTCTGCCTGATTCCTTCTCTCTTTTCTAAGTGTGATAAAGAAATGTAATAGGTTTCAAGATCGCAAAAAAAAAAACCCACAGTTTTGGGGTGTAATTGTGGCTCCATTTCCAGTTCATTTTCATTTCACATAATTACCTGCAAATTTTCAAATGGAATGCACAAAGTTGAAATTAAATACTCAACTCAAAAATACAATCACATCTCTGACCTCTCTTACAGAGAAAGATATCCCTCCCTTCACAATGATGCCTTATACAAACTGCCAAAAAGCAATGATGTAAATATCTGCAGACAACTGCTTTCAGGGATGATGCACAAGGACAGTAAAATTTCATAGATCTCCAATGAACACCTTGAAAACTCCTTTTACTGCCATCAAATGAGACTGATGCATCAGTTTCACCAAAACAAAGTTGAACATCCCTCTGATTTTATCATAGGCTGGAAGGGATCTTAAAGATCATTGAGTTCCAGCTCTGTGGAGGGGGCTGAGAAGAGACCAGACCAGAAGTGTTTCCTTCTTATTGCTCCCAAATCTGATTGGGTTTAAGGGCTGCCGTAGTTTAATCCAGCAGGCAGCCCAGCATCACACAGCTCACACATCCCACAGTGGAATGGAGGAAAAAAAAAAAAGACAAAACTCATGTTGAAATAAAAATAGTTCACCAGGACAGAGAAGGAAGGGAAATAAAGGAATACACTAACTGAGTGATACACAACAAAGCTGCTTACCACCAGCCAACCAGTGCTCAACTAGGCCTTGAGCAGCAGCAGACCTCCCCCCTCCCAGGTTTCTTGTTCAGCATGCAGTCATGTGGTATGGGATGTTCCTTTGGCTGGTTTGGGTCTGCTGTCCTAGCTCTGTCCCCTCCCAGCTCCTCATCCCTGCGCGCACACACACACACTCCCCCAAGCTCCTCACAGGCAAGAGGATACAAGAAGCTGAAACATCCTTTATACAATGCCCTGCACAGTAACACACCACCATACAGCCCCTATAAAGAAAATTAACCCTAATCTCAGTTGAAACCAGGGCAGCTCTGTTCTGAATATTATACATACAGATGCCTCCAAGAGTTTCAGGCAGTTCTGCAGGAGCAAGCTACCCGCAGTAGAACGGCTTTATGCATCTGAAAAGCCATTAACTTGTACAGCTGAAGTCTTGATTTTTATAAGAGAGAAACTACACGCCTCTAAAATGAAAGAATAAGTATAGTATGGGTTGCTACATTTCCATTTAGATAAGCATTACTCAGTAGTAACTCAGTACTGAGTAGAAACTCAGTAATAATCCCCAAGCAGCACACACAGAAAGCAATTATGCTTTCTGAACAGCTCAATGAATGTTCTTCAAAGAAATATTGGAGTTAAAGGTTCCTAAAGTGACATGCTCAGAACGTTTTAGAAAGCTGTGCACTCATGTGCCAAAAGCTAAGTAAAATCAAGGATGAGAGGAATTAAATGGCATATGAGCAGGGCTAAAAGTAGAAGAGGGTGTAGGGAATTGCACATGGTCCATGGAGGACAAAAATGAACACAGATTAACATTCTTACAATGCAATTATCACTTGCATCAAAGCATAGCTCTGAAGTCTGTTAACAACTACTTCAAGCTTGTTATTTTCTCTCACCTCAGAAGAGTCACATGCATTAGATTCTCTTTTTCTGTACTGAAGGGCTCTGATGCCCTCAGCTTTCACTTTGTTTATATCACTAGGTATCAGATGCAAAAATAAGGCAGGACAGCTGATGCACTGGGACAGCAGGAACACTTGTTATGGTTCTTAGTTTCCAGAAATCACACCATATCCTAGACCAACCTGTGAGAAATCACTCTCCTATGCAGATCCTATACAACCTTCCCACAACCCTCCTAAGGACTCTCTTCCAAGAGTTCAGACCTCAAGCCCAGCCTGCTCCAAACACTGAAGGAAAAAACAGCAGCTCTTAAAGTTCTTTTACAATTCTTGCCTCTTACAGTACGTATGGCCTGAAAAACACTTGAGTTAAATGACTGAAGAAGGTAGGGAGGCGGAACTCAGTTCACTGAACTTCAAGAAAGTGCAACATGAGGAACTGAGCCAATCTAGTGGCTCATTCTTACTGTTTGTTCCTCTCTGTCCTGTTCACACACAGGTACCCAAGTTTTTGGTTCTTTCGCACAAGGAAGCAAGGCATGAAGATGGAGACTGAACTTTAAGTCAGTACCTTCCATAATGAAAGCATAAGCTAACACTAAAAGAGGCAATTCATTACACTATGAGGTCACAGAAGTCTGGATGTACAGAGAAGTTGTCTTACACATTAGGATTATAAGTTTGTAAGGCAGTACCTGTAGGAGAAGATATAGATAGTGCTTTTTCACTTATACACAACCCCTCCGAATTCACAGCCATCTCAGCTCAGCCAACACAACAGGCTGAGGAGCTCAACTACTAAAATAATACAAGCTAAACAACCAACCAACCTCTAAAAACTTTTGTGGAAGTGACAAATTTTATCCTCAGCGCAACTTCCAGCATAAATTAGGCAAGCGATAACCACACCATGGCACAGAAAAAGCAAATTAGCACTTTGTACTTGGCTTAGGAACACCAGTTCATAGTTGCATCATCAGGATTATTTGGTCTGTATAAATATACAGAGAGAACGAAGTGTTCCTTAGTCACAACTGAAAAACATCTCCTGCTCTGTAAGGAACCCCAAGGACTGACATATCCACAACTTTAGCAGCTGAGTGGTATAGAAACAAAGAAAACCAGCACAGAATTAATTGCCAAGTTGCCATTGGTCTTTTTTGTTACCACCTACTTTCTTCAACAAATTCATCAAATCGAAAACAGATCACCTTTTTCTTATTGGAATATACTGCAGTTATATTCTGAAGTTAAGGAGAACCTATGAAGCTGATCTTAAAGAGATTTGTCAGACTGTGCTCTATTTCAGGAGCACAGCTCCTTAATAAGGCATGAGCCGCATCCACTCTTACAGTAGACATTACACAAGATATGGAATAGAATTCTTAAGAATTGGAGTACATTCTCACCCACAAACTGCATGGATCAGCTTGAAGACCGAAAATAGCAGACAGTAAACTTGCAGACAAAGAAAGCACTGATTCAACAAGCACTGCACTATGAGAGGAGAGCTTCATACTCAATGTGACAACTCCTCGTGACTAAATTGCCAACAACCACTTTAATCCAGAACTTCAGACAACCTTTTAAACTCTATGGATCCACATAATCAACCACTTATTTTAAGTACAAAACCTGAAAATTAGTATAGTGAACAGCAGCAAGATCTCATATCCCTTACTATATTCCTCATTGATCAAAGGCTCACTCATACCTGCTTTTGTTACAGGAGAACACCAATGCAATGAAGGAATAGTGAGAATAAGAAAGAAGTTGTATGAAAAATGGGAACTCTGATCCCAGAGCATGATCTAAGGGAAACTGTACTGGTGCACTTGGACTTTAAAGATTGAACCCTTCTTCAGGAATTCCCAGATGAGTGTCTAGATTTGAGAGAGTCATGCTTTATTAGCCAAGCTGCTCCCTTACCCACTATAAATCAGAATACAAGGAACGAACCTGGACACATCTTCCAGTGTCCTTACCCTCTCCCTGAGAAAAGAAAACACTCCCAAATTATCTTATCTCCCAGGGGGAAAGACATGGACAAAAAACTACCAATGCAAGAGTAAGCCACTGAAGATAAACACACACAATCATTGTGGGAGGTGTTACCTTCATTCTGAAATAACCCCATTTGTCAGTCACTGGTTCTCTTATCACTGTAGCGCAAGTACATGACTGCACTCTTCCTTACCTCAAGCTGAGGATGACAGACATCATACATCATAAGATCATAATCATACAAGCAAATGAGAGATGTAAAAGCACTGCAAATATCAGAGTTATTCATGCAAGTTTTAAACAAACTAGCTGGGGTATAAGGAAAGTACCAGCAGCTTACAGCAAGTTATCTTCTCGGTGTTGCAGCAGAACCAATGCAGAACCCCAGCCAAGCTGTTCAAAGCTTGCTCAAATGTGTTATGGAGCTATCCTGCTGCACAAACTCACTAAGCAAGTTGCTTACAGAAAGGCAGCATGCTGCAGTAGATGAAGCTGAAGCCAAGACCTCCAAATTCAAGACCTGAAAATCAGTTCTCAAGCAGAAGACGCTCTCATTGGCCTTCCACACTGATGCAGTCACCTTTTCAAAGCTGATGACGACCTCCATGCCAGACCTCAAACCATTCTAATACTTCATTAATTTGTTGATGACATGCTGGCAGTCCACTTGAAGCATTACTAGAAGCTACAAAATGCACCAGGCAAGTGGAGAATGAGGAATGAAGCAGATGATGTACACATAAGAAAAACATTAGTTAAATGGCAGTCGGCTCAGTCTATAACTGAGGATCACTGGCAAGAGTGCAGTGAGATGGCAGGTAAGGAAGGGAGAAGTTGGGCTACTGTTTTCAGATACTACACTAATGACCCAAGAAGACATACTACTCTACAGAGTACCTAAAAAGCAGTTAAGATGTTTTAATGAAATTTTCAGAATGCACAAGAGCAGAATTTAAAATACAAAAGCTACATACCATGCCACCATACAGAGTTCTGTCCTTGCCTGGATTGTCACAAGCGTTCATTAGACCTATGAAAGCTCACTCCACAGAGCTTTTCAGTAGTATCATAGAAAAGCTTAGGTTGGAATGGACCTTAAAGATCATAGAGTTCCAACCCTCAGAGGGCTGACTGTCCCCCACCAGATCAGGCTACTCAGGGCCCCCCCACATTGCCTCGGGCACCCACCACTCTCTGGGCAGCAGTTCCAGTGCCTCACCACTCTCACACCACAGAAGGAGAATGTAACAGTCACACTGTGGGTTCAGCAGCAACCACCTTTGCTTCACACCAGCCAGTTTCTCAGAGGGGGTTTATCAGCCAGTCTGACCCCAAAGCTAAATGCCCAGCTGGGAGCCTCATCCCCTGGTCGGGATGCTCTTCCTTAAGGACTAACCCGGAGGAGCCTGCTGGCTAGACAATTTAACCAGTTTTTAAGAAATATAATGGCTACGTCAATAAAAACAGAACAAAGAAGACCAACGTGGGAGCACTGAGAAACCGCGATAGGCACAACACCAACGAACAGCGGCGGGGTGCAGCGTGGAGTATGAACGGTGCCGCCGCCTTCTCTCCAGCAGAACGCTAGAGATCGGCCATTCCAACCCTGTGAGCGGCTCACCATCTCACTGCTGCCGGCAGCCCCCTCTCCGCATTGTTAAAGCCCCAATATGGGACCACCTTCCGACCGAGCGGGGCCGGGCCCACCCGCACCACAGCTCCAGCCAGGGCTACGGGGCCAGCACCGAACTACTGCCTCCAACCCCCGAAGGCGGCTCCGGCACAGAACCCAGGGCGCTTCCAAAGCCGGCACAGCCGCTCACCTGCGGCAACGAAAGCAGAGGGAGCAGCAGGAGCTGAGCCCACCGCGCCGCCATACCGGGTCCACCGCGCCGCCGCCCGCTTTTGTTTCTGACCGGGCCGGGCCCCTTCCGCACCGGGTATCCCAGCAACCGCCCCGGAAGTTCCGCCCCGGAAATCAAGTACCGGAAGTGCCACCTTGGCTGTCCTCAGGGAGCCAATGACTTGCGTCGACGTGAAACGTCACTTCTGGTGGCGGTAAATGAAATGGCGAACGTCGGAGGGGGCGGTGGTGGTGCGGGCAAGATGGCGGTGAGGAGGGGGCGTTGGTGGGTGCCGGGCTTGTTCTCGTTAAGGGCTCCTTATGAGCTGAGAGAGCTCTGGGTTGGTGCTGTGGTTCTGCTGGGTGGTCCTGGGGCGCTGGCGTGGTGTGAGCGGCCCTGCTCTGCCCTGCAGCTCTGCTGCCGTGCTCGGCGGCCGCTCCTTCGTGCCTGGCTTTGCTCTGGGGATGATTTCTCTAGCAGCGTCGCAAGCAGGGTTGTGGGAGAGAGGAAAAGATATAGAAGCGCTGTGATGTATGTAATGAAGGAGGAGATGCGGTGAGGTCTGGCAGGCTTCGCTTTGAATTCATGTTGTCTTTGTTTCTCATCTTCAGGATAAGGAGAAAAAGAAAAAAGAGAGCATTTTAGATCTCTCCAAATATATCGACAAAACGATCCGGGTGAAGTTCCAGGGTGGAAGAGAAGGTGAGCAGGCAGAAGACCTGGGCTGGGCTCTGTGCGGCTGTAGCGAGCAGCTCTGTGTGTGTGCTTCCATCTCTTCTGTGGTCACCTCACTGTCTTTTGAGGCAGGGTGGTGGCTGATGGGTGCTTCTGTTCCTTGCAGTTTGCTGTTTCTTGGTGGGAAACTTCCCTCCATGTTTCCATGAATCCCCTTGTTTCAATTTTATGAGTGCTTCAATTTTATGAGCACTTCATCTATGTGCCTTTCTTTCATCTTCTGTTTGCTGTCTTGAATTTCCTCGTTTTGTTTTCCAGACTTTGCAAAGGTGCACTGAAAGCAGCAAAGAAAGACGTTACAGTTCATACACTTGTCTTCCTTCTTGTCTCTTAACTATATGTTCCTTTAGTTCTTATTCTGTTTTAACATATTTCAGCATCTATTTTCATTGCTTTTGGGGCTGTTACGTTTCCTCTCCTTTGTCATACCTACATCTGACCATCCCAGAGTGCTGGCAGTGCCACCTGCAGACCATTCCTTCATCTGAAGGTTAACAGCATGCTGTGTGGGAGCTTTGCAAAACCAACTCAGTTTGTCTTTAAAATCTTATTTACAGCTCCAGTGGGCCTTGATGCTTACAAATCTTCAAAGTTACTTGTATGCATGCTGTTAAGTGTGGGATAGTTTTATATTTTATTTTATTCTAGTTCTTCTGTGATTGACAATTCCACTGCATCGGTTGGTTTAGATTTTCTTCTCAGAAAAATTGTGTTAATTACCTGTGTGATCTATATGTAGTGGCTAGGACTGTAAGAGTCTCTTCCTTGATTTGAGCTGGTAGTGATGGTAGTAATGCTAATGGTAGTAATTGGTTTTTTTTCAATACAAGAACTCATTCTGTGTAGCCCTGCAGTTTATTTACTGTCTAGTCTTGAAGAATTGTGTTCTGATTTAAACTAATGCCATTGGCTACCTGTAGTACATTCCTATAAAGCTAAGAAGATCCTTCTTCCAATTATCTGTCTGCGCTATGTTTGTCTAAGGAAAGCACTTGTCTTAGTTTGTCTTTCCTCTTCTGTAGGGAACTTTTTATTTGTAGTATTTGCTTATTTGCTATGTTGAGGTATTCTTGAAAAGCATGTGAAATTGACAGAAAGCTCTAAATTTTCTTTAAGGCATCCATGCTTCTGGAACTGATTTAAAAAAAAAAATGAAGCTTCAGTTGAGACAGTTTGGGTTCTTGTGCATTTGCATTTTGATAGAGGGCACTGTTTAATGTCACTGTTAGTTGTCTGATAACCTTGCTCAAAGGAGAGAACAGAACTGGAGAGTTGAGGGTGTCCTGTGCATGGTTCTGTATTGCTCTGTTTCTGGTTTTGATCTCTAATCATTCTGTTGTATGTGGTCTTTAATAGCAAGTGGTGTCTTGAAAGGATTTGACCCCCTACTGAACCTTGTGCTTGATGGTACCATTGAATATATGCGAGGTAAGTAATACACAGTCTGTGTAAGTCAGCTTTTCCTTATCCCATATCCCCAAGAGCAATTGGCTTAACAGAAAACTGACAGCTCTGTGAATGAATAGCCAGAATCTGTACATTGACATATCTGAACTCAGACTTGTACACAGCAGCTAAGCATAAAGAAAGGGGTAAGAAAAACCAAGTAAGAATGTTGTACCACAGAAAACATGGTAAAACTTATCATAGTATGGTTTGGGTTGGAAGGAGCCTTAGACATCATCTAGTTCCGGCCCCTCGCCTTAGGCAGGGACATCTCTAGACCAGGTTGTTCACAACCCCATCCAGCCTGGCCTTAAATGCTTCTGGGGTGGGAGCATCCACAACCTCTCTGGGCAGTTTGTATCAGCCTCACCACCCTCATAGTAAAGAATTTCTTCCCAATATCTAGTCTAAATCTACCCTCTTCCAGTTTAAAGCCATTTCCCTTTGTCATGCCCTTATAAGAAGTCCTTCCCCTGTAGGGTAGCTTTCTTGTAGGCCCCTTCAGGTACTGGAAAGCCACTCCAAGGTGCCCCTGGAGCCTTGCATTCTCCAGGCTGAAAAGCACCAGCTCACAGTCTGCCCCTGTAAGGGATGTGCTCCAGCCATCTGATCATCTTCAAGGCCTTCTTGTTAGTCTTTGCTTGAGTTCCTGTGCAACTTATTTGGTACTCCTGTTCTTTTAAGTTTGAATGAAATCATTCCCTTCAGATAAAGCAGTTGGCTTTTACTTTCTGTGTACTGCTGGAGAGATGACAGTTTTGTGCAGAGCGTGAAAAGCATTTCAGGAAAAGTTAGTATCTTACTGTCTCATAAACTCTACTGTAAGTGCATTCTTTGCATTTCCATGGAACTGAAGCCTTCTGTAGCTTCTTTGAGCTAATAAAGCTGTGATATATATATATTTTTTTCCATAAAATCATAGAGTATTTGCAGTTGGAAGTGACCCACAAGGACCATCAAGGCCAATTCCTGGTTCCACACGGCACTACCCAAAATCAAAACTCTGTGTCTGAGAGTGTTGTTCAAAGACTCCTTGAACAGCCTGGGGCTGTGCCCACTGCCTTAGGGAGCTCTTTCATGCCCTCTGCAATCCTGATGCTCCCGATCCTCCTCTGTTCTTCCCTTGGGCTCTGTTGCTTCCCCAGAGAGCAGCACTGCCCCTCTGCTCTCTGTGAGGAACTGCAGCTGCCATGAGGCCTCCCCTCAGCCTCCTCTGCTTTGGACTGAATAAACCCAGGGCCCTCAGCCACTCCTCATACATCTTACCTTCCAGACTGTTCACCATCTTTGTAGCTATCCTTTGGATGCTTTCTAATAGTTATGTTCTTAAACTGCTGTGTCCAAACCTGCATGCAGTAGTCAAAGTGAGGCTGCACTCACTTTGTGCAGGGTAGAGTCATAAAATGATTTACGTTGGAAGGGACCTTTGAGGATCACAGATTTCCAACCCTTCCACTAGATCAAGCTGCCCAAAACCTCACCCAGTTGTCTTTGAATACATCCAAAGCTTCTGGGGTAGTCTGTACCTGTGCAATATCGCATTCACAGTAAAGATTTTTTTCTTAATAACTAATCCACTGTCTTTTAACTTAAAATTCATACCACTTGCCCTATCACTGTACTCCTTGTCAGAGTGCCTCAGTACCTTTTCTATATGTCCCCTTTAGGTACTGGAAGGCTGCTATAAGGTCTCCCTGGAGCCTTCTCCAGGCTGAACGACACAAATCTTCCCCAGCCTTTCTTTGTTGGAGAGGTTCTCCAGACCTCAGGTTGTATTTGTGGCCTCCTTTGGTCCTGCTCTGATAGGTCTCTATATTTGAATATATCAACAGCTGAAGGAACGTAGAATTGGCTCTTGCTGTGTTGTTTGTCTGTTTCCGTGCACAGCCTCTTCTGGTTTGGTCTAGGAATAGACAACCAAAAGATTTCTGGTTACTGCACTTTGAATTCAGGGTCTTCTGTTTTGCACTGACCCCAAGTGTTTGCCCATGGTGTCATTTGAAATAGGATCAGGATTGATTTCATTCCCCCCCCCCCCCCACACACACACTCTTTTTTGTCATTTTTATCTGTGCTTTTGATTAGGATGAATGAAAAGGCCTTTGAGTTCTTTAAAAGATGCATGTTCTGCTTTGCATACAAAGTAGAGTACTTTGTCACTCTGTAGCAAGTTCTGCTTTGAAAACTAATGAATCTAATGTGCTAAAGTTATCAGATATTATTACTGCATCATTTTTAATAGTCTGTGCTCAATAAAACAATGCTGAGAAGTCTGGAAAGATTGTGCTTTTTTTTTTTTTTCAGTTGACAGAATTTATTATGTCATCTTCCTTAAGTTTCCATTGTAACTAGAGATCTCTGCTTTTCAGACCCAGATGATCAATACAAATTAACAGAAGACACGCGTCAGCTGGGACTGGTGGTCTGCAGAGGGACTTCTGTGGTTCTCATTTGCCCACAGGATGGAATGGAAGCGATTCCAAATCCTTTCATTCAGCAACAAGATGGATAATGGCATTGGGCTGTCTTCGAAGACTTTGGGGGTGCAAATCATTGGAGGAAACGATCAGTGTGTGAGAAGTTTCGTGTTTTTGGAGAGAAGTTTGAATGTGTGTTTATTGGTGTGAAAGAGCAGTCGACTTTCATTTTTGTGTCTTTCCATGAGCAGGAAGAGAATGACATGTGATGTGCAAGGCACAAGTTCTTATTACTTTTTTTTCTTCAAATAAACGTGAAGCTCTGCATTG